GTCGAGACTTGCATTGCCGAACTAGTTTGGATGTACTTAGATAGAGGGCTGGCCAATGCCTTAAGTGTAGCTTGGCTGTCACTGCAGACACGTAAACTCCTTCCCCTCCACTTTTCTCCACCACGTAGTCTATGGCTTTGATGATTGCAAATACTTCAGCTGGAAGACCGAAGCATATTCCGTAAGAGAAGAATGAAGTTTATCCCCATTAACTTCGAAAAAGATCCCAGATCCTGCCTCAGAGACAGTGTGTGAGTTCCGACTCAGTGCTGGAATTAAAACAGCATTCCCCCTCAGGGAACTCAGCATTATAGACGCAGGTGCTCAAATCTCTGCCGCCAGCAATTTCCGCCTCGTCTCACTCAGTGTTATACCAACATTTGTTTCTTTTTAGTCCGCAGGTGGTCTTTAAGGCTTCCCCATGCACATATAAAGACACAAAGTGACGGTAAGTGCAGCAGTGCGCCAAGAGCACTATATCCACTCAAAAAAATAAAGTTAAATAAAGAGGCTATCAAGCAACCATTTTGGTTCTTTACTATAGACACCAGACACCAGATACATTTTCGTGGAGCCCAAATTTTTTTTATATATAAAAAAAAATTGGGGAATATTTTTTTTCGGGGTAATTATCTAGGTGGTCTTTCAACCCCCAAAAAGAGTACCATTAGACGCGTCTGGACCGTAGTAACAAATTAAAAAACAAAAAACTTTTTCACAATAGCACCTTTTTTATTCCCTTACTACACTCACACAAACGCACAAATTGCCCATATTTCACCATACATACAATAATAATACTTCATTTTAGCCATATATGTCATAATATTACCTACCAATTAGTTGAAAAGAAAAAAAGCAAAAAATGTGTTTAATTTATAGAAATGAATACTTCGTAATATAATGAAAATTAAAAAATGTTCGCCTTCGGCGCTTTATTCAATAAAAATCGATACTTGGATATATAATGAAAATTTGTAATAAAAAATCGCGCGATATAAAATATAAAAGTTGATACTTCGTTATAAATGAGAATTTTTAACTATTTAGTTATTTCCACAGTTAATTATTGCACATAACAGTCTGAACTCCGTGTAAACATATTCAATATTTATTCCATTCAGGTTGAGTGGCAATACCGCACATCAGCAGGTGAATTTTGCGTTGAGCATGATTCAATAATGAAAGTTTTTGTAATAAAAACTTTCTCTCACTCTAATTTTATCAATGATACTCCCACCCTACTCCTAAAAACAAAAACAGTGATATTTCTTTTCCAAATTTCTTTGCAAATTTTAGGAGCATTTTTTTAAATTTAATAGTGAATTTTTTACTTTTTAAATTTGAAGTAATAGTTGCGATCCCGTACGAGTCCGGACTAGTCAGAAATAGTCAGAATCAGTCAGATTTTACAGGAAATCTATCCCGTACTCGGTTCTCTGACTACTGCGAGGACAAAAAAGAGAGTAAATACGGTTCTCTCTTTGTCAGAAGTTACCAGTTTTAGTCCGAGAATTTTTTGCTAGTAAATTCTGGTAAATGTGTCAAACGATCAGCTGTAGTGTGTTTAGCAACCAAATTGTAAACAAAAGAAAAGTGCACTCTGCTAATTCATGTTGAAAAGTATTTAATTACTTGTTTAAGTGGATTCTAATGAATTTGAAAGTATTTTTGGTTATTTACATGTGTGAGCTGAGTGTGTTTACATACAAAATAAGCAAAAATTTACAACCAAAATTTGGAGGGCATGTTGAAGTTGACATAAGTTACCATTTTTTTACTAGAAAGCGATCCCGTACTTTTCAATGTTACTCTCTCGCTCTGAGCGAATTTTTATTTTTTGACAGTTTTAGTAGTCCGAGTCCGAGAAATACGGGATTGCACCCATTGATTCAGTCAGTCGCTGTAAGGTAAAGCGCGCAATGGTTCTGGTAAATGAGTCAACAAAGGTATTTAGGTATTGACCTACACTCCCGAATGAGACTTCAGCGCAGTATAATATTGGCAAACCACATTCATAGGCCCAATCGTAACACCCCGACAGCTCGGTTTAGTCAATGGCGCGATGCAATTTCAAACTTACGGCACTTCCCATTTGATGATGTAGATCACATTCCCTGTGTCAGTCGTTCAGTAGCTGCATGCCCGTTTTAATCTTCCTGTGCCAGTGTTTAATATTCTGACGGCGGCATAATCCCCCAGAACACTAAAAGTGCAACATCAAAGAGTTCGAATTACCATATTCGATGCAATCGAGCCAAAACCGCGAAAGAAAGGTAAGCTCCAAATGTTTTTATTAGTCGTTTGTTTTTATCAACATTCCATAATTTTTCCACAAGCAAATAGCTTTCATATCCATCAACTCTAAATGGTACCGCAAAAAATTTACAAGGCAAACAAACAAACCAAAAAAAAATTGCTCAAAGTGGACCATCCATTTTCGAGTTATGCGCCGTCTGACGTACGCAACTTTGGTATATATGCAGATATACATAAATATTTATTTTTAATAACAATCAGGGGATATATTCGATGTAAATAAGCTTGTTTAAATTAAATATTTAAATCACTATTATTACCACCTTTTTGTGGAATTTAGCTACCATTTTAGGAAATGTGATTGAATTCTTCCCCTTTTCTCCTGCACCCAAAAACCATCCCTGCGGGAGGGAGTGTAAAATTTTAGAAAAAAGCTACTTACGAAACCTTTCATGATTGAATCATGCGTTGAGCATACCAAAATTGTTGACATTATAATGAATAAAATATATAAGTATATATATATATATATATATATATACTGAAGTATTGTTGTTGTATGTATGGTGAAATGTGGGCAATTTGTGCGTTTGTGTGAGTGTAGTAAGGGAATAAAAAAGGTGCTATTGTGGAAAAGTTTTTTGTTATTAACTTTTGATCGGGTAAACAAGTTAATTTCCGCTTTCGATTCTTGTTACTAGGGTCCAGACGCGTCTAATGATACCCTTTTTCCTAAATTTTGATTAATTTTGGGGTTGAAAGCCCACCTAGATAATTGAGTAGTCCACTTGCAAAGAGCGGTCTGTGATTTTATTATAGTAAGCCATAAATTAAAAAAAAAAAAACGTCTACAACAACAAATAAAATCCGAATTGTATCTTTTTTTATTATCTGAAAATTTGGATAAATAAGAGCCTAATAACATTAAAATCAAAATCGCAGTATGCTAGTTTTTGCAAATTTTATATATAGGTCATTCCATGAAACATGGGTCATTCCATACGTTCCCACGACAGTCGGGTCTACGTAACCGGAACGACCCAGATTTATATCTGGCCAAGGACTGTCACTCCAGCAACACTCCCCAAAAAGTCTTTGGGGAATTTGTATGCTGCTACAACAACAACAACATATATTTAAAAATGCCCTAATTTTCTCTATTTCAGTAGTAACCTCTTCTTAAATGAAATATTACTGAAATTGAAAAATATTAAAAAAATAAAAATAAACTGTAATTTTTGTCTATGGAAACTCATATTTCATGCATAATTACTTTACACCAGCCACGAGGAGATGTCCCACCTAAACGGGGTTAGATCGCCGAAACAACAGCCCTTGGTCGGGTGAAACCCGAGTCATTCCGGTACGTAGAACCGGCTGTCGTGGGAATGCCTTGTCTCTTATGCCGACGATTGCTCGATCATGGCGACTGGGAATGGA